TTTTTTTTTTTTTTTTTTTTTTTTTTTTTTTTGGGGAACAGCTGCATTGTCCCTCTCTTCCATTTGTGCGTTTTGCGCGACTAAGCGATTTGTACCTTTTTCGCGACGAACCTGTTTTGTGCGATCTGCTTTATTTTGTACAATAGCTTGGATGGGACATGACCATTTTTTTTTTTTTTTTTTGTTTTTGTTTGAGCCTCGGCGATACTTATCCAATCAAGTGGGGTGCTCTCGCGTGTACTCACATACGTATGATCGTTTTTGTGTGGGGGCATACACCTATACACGTACACGATTTCACCCCTGCGCAATATTACCTGCCCACTTCCTACCCACGCCTATGTGTGCGTAGGGTCCAAGCCCACGAACCTCCCCATAATATACGAAGAAGAGAATCCATTTATGAGTATCACTGTAGCATAGGAAGATCATATAATGTTCGCTCCTCATAAGAGCCAGGAGATTAGTCACATCTACGAACGAAACAATGAAGCGACACTCTATATAGGTAGGATGTCGGGGGAGCCAATTGCCCCGTGTACATTTCCTCACATGTGCATTCACTCACATATGTATGTATATGCATTTTTTCATGTGTACAACTGTGTCTCTGTCCCCACCCCTACGGCTGCAGCCAACTTAGACGCCCAAGTGGACGAAGAAATTCTGTGCGAGCTTTTTATGCAATGCGGTAACGTCAAGAATGTGCACATTCCGCGGGACAAGATCAATGGGTTACACGCAGGTAAGGGGATGCATTCCTGCGGTGGAGCGTTCACCGTGTTGCTACGTCACCCGTTGCTGGTTCACCCGTTGCTACGCCCCCGTGCTGCTGCTTGACCCATTCGTGCGTCACCCGTTCCTCCTTCAGGCTATGGCTTCGTCGAGTACGAATACGAGTACGAGTGTGAGTACGCAGGAAAGGTGTTGAACATGACGAAGCTGTTCGGAAAGCCCCTCCGGTGCAACAAGGCTTCGCAAGACAAAAGGTCCTTTGACGTGGGAGCCAACCTATTCATTGGAAACCTAGACGAAGAGGTGGACGAGAAAATGCTGTTTGATATTTTCTCCTCATTTGGGCAAGTGGTAAATGTTAGAATCATTAAAAACGAAGATGATACGTCCAAGGGACACGGCTTCATCTCCTTTGACAACTTCGAGTCCAGTGACATGGCCATTGAAAATATGAACAACCAATTCATATGTAATAAAAAGGTGCATATATCGTATGCTTTTAAAAAAGACTCCAAGGGGGAGAGACATGGAACGGCGGCTGAAAGATTCATTGCGGCTAATAAGGCTCTAAGTTTGTACTCAGGAAATGAAAACTCTAATCATGTAATGCCCTTTAATTCATCTAATGCAGATAATATAACAAATACCAAGCGTGGAAAAAATAATGCCTCGCTAAATGGGGACAACAATCCATTTGTACGACCACCCTTAACTTCCTCAAATGCTATCAACCCCCCCTCAAGCGATTCCCTACCGCCGATTATGAATTCGTATTTTCCGGGCAACGTACCTCCCCCTATGGCGTCTAGTTTTACACACCAACCCATGAACATGCATAGCGGCATGCGCCCCAATGGCCCCTTCATGATGCCCCAGAAGATGGGCAACCGGATGATGGGAAATATGCCCCCAAACGTGCCCATGAATATGCCTCCAAATATGCCTCCAAATATGCCTCCAAATATGCCCCCAAATATGCCCCCAAATATGCCTCCAAATATGCCCCCACATATGCCCCCACATATGCCTCTCAATATGCCGCCCAACATACCCATGAATATGCCTCTGAATATGCCACCCAATATGAACGCCCCTCCCAACATGCCGATGAACATGCCGCTGGGCATGCCCCCCAGTTTTCCACCCAACTTTCCCCCAAATTTCCCTCCATCCTTTTCTCCAAATTTCCCACACAACATGCCAACCAACTTCCCACCCAATTTTCCCCCCAATTTTCCGCCCATCCCCCCGGCCGGCATACAACTGAGCGGATCCTTGAACGCATCGTCAACTGCGGAACCGAGTCAGAGTGGCCCAAGTGACCAAAATGAAGTCGCGGGCAGTTAGCCGTGGGAGGGATCAGCGTCAAGAGGTTTTTCATATTCTGACCCCCGCAGACCGGAGCACCCATCCTATAACTGTGCTTGTACGGTGCGTTTTTATAATACGTTTTTATAATGCGCTTTTACAATGCGTTTTTGTAATGCGTTTTTGTAATGCGTTTTTGTAATGTATTTTTTTTTTGCCATGTTTGCAAAAGAGATAGGGACGTACAGGCGCGCGCTTCTCTTGCACCTCCATTTGAAAAGCACATGCGCCTATATAAAACAAGGGAGAATTTTCCCCGTGTTTTTTTTTTTTTTTTTTTTTTTCATACCATTATGCGCATTTTGCCCCTTTTAAACGACCTCCACTACTCCCCAAATTGTAGTTACTTTATCTGTTCATTTATTCTGCTACTCATTTTGTTCCCCTCATTTTTTAACCAAGCGAATTATACCACATAAATTTTAAAAAGGATGTTTGAATAAAAAAGACCCGTTCAGCAGATGACGGAAGTGTGCTTTTTTCCCTTAGTGGGAACCTGCTAAATCTTCCTTCTACCTTGTGCAGCGCCAATTTCACCCCAACCCCGCGGGGAGTGGAAGGAAGGCATGGCCAAAATTTAATCTCCTTCCGCCTACTGCCTCTTGCGGCGACGTAGCCCTTTTTACAGGCGGAAAAACAGATTGTGCGCTAAGAAATACAACCATTTTTTTTTTTTTAAAAAAGGAAAAAGCACCACGCGGAAAATGTCATAGGGAGATACCCCAAGTAACTGTGCAAATGAAACATTGAATGGGAAGGAAAAAAAAAAATAAACATACGCCAGGTGGAGCAACTCCGCTCCCCTAAAAATACACTGCTCGCTGCACGCTTGCATTTCGCATTTCGCATTTCGCATTCCGCATTGTGGGTGGAACTGAAGTAGCCTTCGAATGAGGGCGCAGTGTTAGCAAAAGCAGCGGGGCCAAGCCCATGCAGGTGACGCAGGTCATCCACGACATACACTGCTGGTAAAACTCTGTCGGAATGCCTCGAAGAGAACCATCTCAATGGGAGCAAAACTGTACGCGGAACAGTAAAGCGATTTGAGTACCGCCTTTACTATTTGTACGGTGCAACGCTCTACCGGGTGTACCCCCAAATCCCCGCTTGATCGAATGGGTTGACGCGCAGGTGAGAAGGGGCAGGAGTACTTCGAACGATCCCATCCCTGAAGAGCAAAATGATCGCCCGAAAGAGAATAACCAAGCGCAGGGGGAGGAGGAACCTCTTCCAATTGTACCTGAGCATGCGGGAGGAGAAATGTCAGAAGGAGGTAGGCCAGGACGATGCTTATGGGGAGCCTCCCCATGGGATTCACTCAAACCACCAAGGTGGTGCACACCCAAGCGAACAACCTCACATTATGCATATAGAGAAGCAGGTCAAAATGAAGCTGGAGGAACAGTCTAGCTTACTCTCCATCAAGGGAATTGACAGAGTGGATGTCCAACAGAAAAAAGGAAAACATTCAATCATTTGTATTCACTACATAAAAAACATGTGTATGAAGAATTTGTTTTGTAATTATTTACACCAACTTATATATGCAAAAATACCAGCCTGTAAAAATTTCCTCAAAAATAATTATTGCGCCGACAAGGTACGCGGATCCTGTATGTTCCGACATACCCAGGACAATGTCAACCCTGGAGGCTTTTCAGAGAATAAAGATGAGCACCTGGATGATGTATTGAAGTTATTACATGATAAAAATATTTGTGTGAATTATTTGCTTGGCTTTTGTAACTTGGGTTACAATTGCAAGAGGGTGCACAAGGGCAAAGGAAGGAAATTCGTTAACCTTATAAGTATTCTACCCAAGTTTTACCTCGATCACATTTTAATAAATCAGCGCGTGTATGCCCACTTATACACCAATCAGAGGAAGCTTTCCTCCGATATGAGCAAATTGAAAGACGCCTTGATTGTTCTTAGTGGGGAGAAGTATCAGGAGAAGGTGGCCGTGTCTGCCAATTCAAACAGTCTTAAAAATGATAAGGAAAACTTCCAAACGGATGACACATCTGTGAGGAATCTCGACTACCACCAGCGTGGAGTCAACAGTGATATGCATCGCCACCTTGGGGGAGATTCATCCCTCCAAAGAGATAATGCTTCCAATGCACAGAGCAATAGTAGGTACTACCCCTTCAAAGTGGGGACCAGCAGCGGAGGTACTAACAACTTTGATGATTTTGTCCACCCTGCTGACCACATCACAATGGCTAGTCGAGATAGCGAAAAGGGATTCACACACAACAGAGCCGGTACCAATGCAGCAGAGATGAGGAGTCAAGAAAATCTGATGACCATCCCCAACATATACGATATAAACAATGAAATAGTACCAAGTGAAAAAATAAAAATTTTTATAATCAAGTGTAATCAAATGTCAAACTTGTACTTATCCATTTTGTATGGAGTATGGGCCACGGGAAAAAACAACACCAGGAAATTTAGCACCCTGTTTAAGGAAAATTACACTGTTGTGTTCCTTTTCTCTGTTAATGAAAGTGGAGGGTTTCAAGGGTATGCTAAAATGGTAACTGTACCGATCAAAAATTTATATGAAAATTTATGGGGACCCATAACGAGTAGGTTGGGAGGAAATTTTCGCATCCAGTGGATAAAAATTGCAAAGATTGATTTTGACGCTTTTAAAAATATGAAGAATCCTCTTAACGAGAATTTGCCTCTGAAAAAAAGCAGAGACGGGACTGAATTGCCCCTACATTTGGCCTCCATCATATGCAACAGGATTTATGCTTTACCCAGTGAAGACTTTTTGGCGGGGACCATTTATGAGTACAAGCGCCGGATAAACCATGGCGCCTTTTTTGAGAATTTGCACAAACAGGGTTTGCTCAACAGCAACACCGTGTGGGACATGCGCATATTTATCCTCAACCAGCAGTCCGACTGCGAGCGGATTACCTTCATCGACGGCACGGAGCAGGCCATAGGGTAGGGAGCGGCTGTGGTGTGCGCAGAGATCACAACGCGACGGCGTGGCGACGGAGGAGCGAAAGCGAAGCGAAAGCGGCGCACTCCCCTGGGAGCAAGAGTAAAAAATAACACGCGATAACACAATTTGTCCCTTACGTAGGAAAAAAAAAAAAAAATTGCCTCGTCTGTGTTAGCGGCGCGTGTATTCCCCATTAGCTCAATGCAAATGTAGGGACACTCATAAAAAAAAAAAAAAAAAAAAACACAAAGAAATGCAAAAAACAGCAGTTGTTTCCTTCCGAAGGGGCAAAAAAAAAGAAATACTACTTACATAAAAAAACGAATGCAACTAATGTTGGGTGCACATGTAGGACGGGGCGCCTCAAAAAATAAAAACGGGCAGCCCTCTTTTTCCGTCTTCCTGCTGCAAAAATATTTTGCAATAAGCTGTTTTAACCATTTGTTGTGCTTCATTACACCAAGGCCATAAAAAGCCAGTTGGAAAAAAATTATTTGTCGATTTAATAGAACCCATATTTGAAAAAAAAAAAAAAAGGGAAAGCTCCCAAGTGGTTGTTTAGCAACTTGTAAGTATATCATTATACATTTTTAAATGATAGAAAAAAAAAAAAAAAAAAAAAAAAAAAATTTACCTTTTAAGTGAAAGGATATATAGAGCAGCTTTACAAGTTCTGCAGACGAGGAAACGTGCGTATGTAGCATTTACACGCAAATGCATTTGCGTGTAAGAATTCCCCCTGGTAGCTAGCGAAAACGTATTCTTATGAAAACGACGCCCCTGCGAGCCTTGCTAATTTTAAACAGGTATTGTATCAATTCTGCGCGAGAATTTTGTATGATGCTTTCACCCTTTCACATCCATTTCGAGCTCTGAGTGTTTTTTTTTTTCTTCCACCCCTGCGTACCTCGCAAGGCATCTCCTTTACATGTTCGTGAACCTGACCCCCCTATTGTATAGTAGTATATGTACCATTACGTGCGGCATCTCCCTTTTTTTTTTTGCAAAGAACTGTACTCTCACCTCTTTTACACCCTTTCTCCCCGCGTGACCGCGTGCACGCACATCCCTGCGGAAAATTCTCCACTCCTACATGAACACCCCTGACCCTCCTGTGACTTCGTAATTGCAACGTAGCAACGTAGCAACTTCTTAACTGCTAACCCTCTTAACCGCAAAACGGCATAACTGCTTAACTTCTTAACCGCATAACGTTTTACACCTTGCGTACCTCCCCCCCTCTGTGATACAACATGCGCCAACTCAGCTACTTTCCTTTTTTTTTGTTTTTCGTGCTCCTGAACCCTTCGATAAAATTAACAAGGAGCTTCAGTTTGTACCAAAACTTGGACCACGCGAGTGCCCCCACGTACTTGAAGAAGAAGCCCGACATGTCGTACGACCTCATAGTTATTGGAGGCGGAAGTGGCGGCATGGCCGCGGCGAGACGAGCAGCCAGGTGGGTTCTCAGAGGGAGGCATAGCCCGGATGAAAGAAGTCTGAGGCTTGACTTGCATTTTTATCCACATTATATTCTACATCAAAATGGCCATTTTGCACCTCCATGCACAAGCACACATATACACATACACACACGTACATACACACGAACACACGCACATATACACACCGCAGGAACAAGGCCAAAGTTGCTCTCGTGGAAAAGGCCTACTTGGGAGGAACCTGCGTGAATGTCGGCTGCGTGCCAAAGAAGGTAAGGTGTACGGAAATGAGGAAGAGCCCATTTGCCCCTTGTTTCCGTGGCTTGTTTTCATGTCCCCATTTTTATGTTGCCCCACCAGATAATGTTCAACGCTGCATCCATCCATGACATCCTAGAAAATTCAAGGCACTACGGATTCGACACGCAGTTCAGCTTCAACCTGCCCCTTCTAGTCGAGAGAAGAGACAAATACATCAGGAGATTGAACGACATATATAGGCAGAATTTGAAGAAGGACAATGTGGAATATTTTGAAGGAAAGGCTAGCCTTCTTAGTGAGCATAAAGTGTTAATAAAAAAGGTACGTAAAGGTTGTTATGGTGGGGACAATGTTGATGGAGGAGAAGAAGATGAAGTGATCGAGGGAAAAAACATCCTCATAGCAGTAGGAAATAAACCCATATTTCCAAATGTGAAAGGAATTGAACATACCATTTCTAGTGATGATTTTTTTAAAATAAAAGAAGCCAAGAGGATAGGTATAGTAGGTAGCGGATACATTGCAGTGGAGTTGATTAACGTCACCAGGAGATTAGGTATCGAGTCGTATATATTTGCTAGAGGAAACAGGTTGCTGCGCAAATTTGACGAAACGGTTATTAACGAATTAGAAAATGATATGAAAAAAAATAACATCAACATCATTACTCATGCAAATGTAGAAGAAATAGAAAAGGTAAAGGAAAACAGTTTAACAATTTATTTAGCAGATGGAAGAAAATATGAACACTTCGATTATGTCATTTACTGTGTTGGTCGATCACCAAATACAAAAGACTTAAATTTGCAACAGCTGAATATTGCAACAGAGAAGGACTACATTCTTGTGGATGATAATCAGAGGACAAATGTGAAACACATTTATGCTGTAGGTGATTGTTGCTTGGTGAAAAAAAAACAAGAAATTGAAGACTTGAATTTACTCAAACTTTATAATGAAGAGTCATACTTGAAGAAAAAGGAAAACACTTCTGGGGATGTATTCTTCAATGTGCAGCTGACCCCAGTGGCTATTAATGCAGGAAGGTTACTAGCTGATAGACTTTTCCTTAACAAAACCAGAAACACGAATTATAAATTAATCCCTTCTGTTATCTTTTCTCACCCCCCAATTGGTACCATCGGATATTCAGAGCAAGAAGCCATTGACATATATGGTAAGGAAAATGTGAAAGTTTATGAGTCCAGATTTACAAACTTGTTTTTCTCAGTCTATGACATGGACCCTGCGCAGAAGGAAAAGACTTACCTCAAATTGGTTTGCGTTGGTAAGGAGGAGTTGATTAAAGGGCTTCACATTGTCGGGCTGAATGCGGAAGAAATTATACAAGGCTTTGCCGTCGCCCTGAAGATGAATGCCACCAAGAAGGACTTTGACGAGACCATACCCATACACCCCACGGCAGCGGAGGAATTCGTCACCATGCATCCTTGGATGAAGTGACGCAAGTGACGACGCAAGTGACCTGGCCGCAGCTTGCCCCACCATTTCGTGTGCACGTCCAAACGCTACATCGACTGTGCGCATTTCAAACGTTCCCTCATTTTAACTCGTTAAATGGATCAACCTGCGAGACGGGCAACACTCCACAATAAGTGGCCAGTGTTCTGCCCGCTTCGCCCCGTCACCTACTTTTTTCCATATGGAATAATTTTGAAGAAAAAAAATTTTATTTTTTATTTTATTTTTTTTTTTTTTTTTCCCTTTTGGTTCGACGTAAAAAAAGGGTTTAAAACGCATTTAAAAAAAAGCTGTAAAAATGGCCATACACAAATGTGTGCAGAGAAAAAAAGAAAAAAAGAAAAAAAAAAAAAAAAAAAGGCGGGGCACCCATAAATACGTGCGCGGTGCGCAGTGCGTGGCAAACATTTAGCTACCACGAACACATCATTTTTATCAGCTCCCATGGCACCCCGCTGATGTGCGCGGGCAAAGTCGTTAAGACCTCTTTTTCAAAAAGGGGCGCCCATCCCGAATCTGACCAGGCGCAAAAAGCAGCGGCGTTGCAAAAAGGGGGCTCTTCAAAAAGTCAAAACCTCCACACTTTTGTGTCGTCCCAGTCTCTCTGTCTGTCTCTCTCTCTCCGCTGCATCTCTCACGGCTTTGCATTCTTGTAGTACAAGTAAGACTTGGCAATGGCATGGCTGCACAAATTATTAATGTTATCATTTAGCAAGTTATTACTCATGGTCAGCACGTAAGGGAAAAGCAAAGAGGGTTGTGGGATGCTCTTAAAAATATTCTGCATGTTAATATCATCTTCGTTTGTTTCCTGATTATCGTGTTCAATTTTATTTTTTTCTTTTTCGAGTTTTTTCTTTTCTTGATAAATTTTCTGCGTCTGGAGTTGCTTGAAGACGTCCTTCTTATATTTTATCATTTTGTCCTGTTCCGTTTTTAGCAACTCTAGCGACTTGCAGGTATCGTGGATGTAACTCTCGAGGGAGTCTACTTCCTGTGCATTCAAATAATCCATAGAAGATACAAAATTTTTGTTTTTATTTTTAAGTACCTTCAAAAAGAGGGAACTTATAATGGAGTTTTTTATACGAATGGGTATTTTCTGCAAAATCGTTTTACTGTTCAGTCCTTTCTTCTTCAATTCAACATTCAGGATATCATTAAACTGATTAAATGTCGCATTTTTTATTTGATTTCGAATTTCATATACCACATCCACATCAATTTTGTAAGCAGAAAAAATTAATTTGCCATATTTATCACTAAAGCAAAGGACAAAGGAGTTTTTATTAATTAGGGAACACATCAGGAGTGTGGCCAACACATCCTTCTTCTTAATGTCACACAGGTTAACATAAAATCCAAAGGACGTTGTGTCGAAATTTAGCTCTGTCATAATATTTGTATAATCATCATAGTACGTGTTTACTTCACTTATATATTTTTCTCCTTCTTCTTCAAATTTATTTTTATTAAAATATAACACTAAATTATTTAATAACTCGGTTTGTCTTTGTTTTGCAAGCTGATACTTGTTTGTCATTTTCGAAATTTTGTCTATGCATATATCTTCAATGTTACACACACAAAATGATTGGTTAATTTCTACAACGTTTAATTTTTTTTGCTCATTTTTTTTATTTTTTTTCTTGTCCTTTCCTGTATCTCTTCTTCTTTTATCATCTTCCTCATCATCATCATCGTCCTCCTCATAATCTTCATATTCGTCCTCGTCATCCTCCTCATCGGCGTCATTTTTATTTTTATTACCCAATTTATCGTCTTCGTTATTTCCACTTTTTGCCTTTTTTTTTTTTTTTTTTTTTTTTTTTTTTTTTTTTTCATCATTATTTTTTATGTAATATCCTAACAACTCTCCTCTCAGATCTTTATTTTTGGCTATCTGACTGATGACGCCACTGTTTAACACAATTTCGAAATCATCTCCTTCTGTTGAGCTATCACTATCAATGTCTTTTTCCTCCTTGGCGTTTTCAATTTTTTCCTTCAATTGTTCTAGCTTCTCTGCTTCTGCTTCCTTTTTTTCTTTGGCCTCCGTTTGGGCCCTCATGTGAGGGGGAACGTACTTCATTATGCCCACACGTGTTTGCTCAGAAATGTGTGCACACGATGACCTACTGCGGCTATTGCGCAAAAGGGAAAGGGGGAAGGATTTGCCGTTTGTCTTATGCGTGCGGCAAATATGCAGCCTGCGCCCCAACTGAAGCGATGTGTCAGGTGTTTTCCTTCTGCTCTTTCTCGAAGTACGGGTGAAAGAACCCAGAGCCCACACCCAGGCTTGTCAAAACTGAAATGTGCAAAATATAAAAAAAAAAAGCAACGCAATGCAAAGAAGCGCAGCGCAGTGAAAAGGTAAAAAGGTAAAAAGGTAAAAAAGCAAAACAGAACAATTATAAAACTTATCACGAGATGAGATGGCGAAACAAACTTTTAATTTCTTGTACTCAAAAAAAAAAAAAAAAAAAAAAAAAATGAATTAATGGGATGAAAATTTAATTCAGGCTAACATATCATATGCTTATGCAAACCCCTATGTGCATACGCATCTACATCGGAACATCCGGACGCCAGCACAGGGAGGAGGAAACTATGTACATAACAACGCGTCATGCGTCCACGAACATTAATAGGGCAATGCAAAAATGGGTTGTTTTGGTAGCAGAGGGGCAAGCAAGGGTGTGAATTTTTTTTAAGGGGGGGGGGGAAGAATTTCCGTTCTATGAAACCCTCGGCAAGGGCTGCTAATGCTGTTCTGCTATTGGGTTTACTAATTTAACGCAAATGCAAAAGGATGCGATTAGGCAAAAATGTACCACCAATAAAAGGATGGGAGGAGGAATACGTGAACATAACATAAATACGCTTGGGGGGGTTCGTCAATTTAGGGTATTTCAGCGCTGTTGACACTGCATTTAAACCATGTCACAGTATAAAAGATCGCATGAAAAGAAGGGGAAAAAAAAAAAAAAAAACTCTTAACATGTACGATATATATAATGCCATATATTTATGTTCTTCATTTTATGTAATTGCATATTTGTATTATCTACATATCCCTCTAACATTTTTTTCTTTTTTTGTTTTTTTTTCTTCCGTTTCGCCGTTGAAGATTTACTCTTTTTATGTTGGTAAAAAATGGCCTACGTTGAACGCATGGTTTTTTTTTTGCGTTATACTTTTGCTCATAGGCAGGGAAACATGTATGCAAATGCGTACGCGCATAAATACATAATGTATTGTTACTTATGTACATTTATTTTCCCTTTATGAAGTGCTTAGTGGGAAGGAAAAAAACACGTGAGAAAAAAAATCAAGTCAGAAAAAAAATGTAGTGAAAAAAAAAAAAAATTATAAAAGGAAAAACCGAAATGACAACAAAAGGAGGAATGGAAAAACGGGGGCGTAACAGGATAAAGTAAAAAAAAAAAAAAAACACAGGTTAGTCAGTTTATAGTGTAGCATACAATATGCGCAGTATGCGCAATTGCGGCCGAAGAAAGTGACTCGCGAACAAGCGACACCGGAAGTGGCAAACGGACGCTGCGTGGTTCTTCGTTGGCTGTTTTTTTCTTTGCCGCTGTTCCCTTGGGTAGTGGAAAGCCAGGCACCCGACATGGTATCGTTCACGCAATAAATTTGTGCAGGAAAAAATCAACCACAGGATTGTGAAATCACAAATGGCGGGGGCAGCTGTTCCCCCACGCGCGCGCCACGGCTGGTGGATGGAACACGTATGTATTTATGTATGTACGCACGTATGCGCGTATGCGCCTATGCGCCTATGCGGAGATAGGCCGTCCTTCACACACGCCACGCATGCGTTTTTTCCCCGGCCTCTTCGGCAAATACCCCACCACTGTTAGACTTTCTCTTCTCGTCTCCTCTGTTTTTTTTTTTTTTGTTTTTTTTCTTTTTTAAACTAACCACTTTTTGTCGCATGAAGTTGGGAAATCTACATTCGTTTTCCATCCGTTTGGAAATTATCAATTCTTTTTTTTTTTTTTTTTTTCCTCCGTTTGAAAATAAATGTGGAACAGTTGAAAAGGAAGCGTTGTAAAAAAAGGGCAAGCTAAAGCGATAAAGCGGAAAATATTGTGGAGCAGCGAAACTGCCAAATGGCGAATGTGCCAAAATGGTGAAACAGAAAATAACCCATTAGGTGACACGCGCGAATTAATTTCCCCCAGACTTGGGATTGGTTTACAAAATGTGAAATTTTGGTGATTTATTTTTTTTTTTTTTCCACCTCATCCTACATGTGTGGTTTGATTTCACCCCACCTGTTTTTCTTTTTTGTATAATTGTGCCATTTTGTCGACGTGAGCGATTAGGCAGTTCAACCTGACTCCATCGCGTTCTTCGAGTTCCTTGCCCATGGAGCAATCCGCAGGTATAATCCTCCTCCACAGCACACGCAATGCGAATGCCAATCCAAGGGCAACATCAGCCACCCCCCCCTCCCGCAAGTGCATACAAGCGATTGATTCATAATACATCCACGCTACACGTTATTCACTTTTTGTGTGAGGTCAAATACACATATACACCCACTGCTGCTTGTCACCCACTTCCCTCCACCCCTTGGTAGAGTCACATCCGGAGGATTTGTCAAGGAGGAGCAGTGAAGCACTTTCCTCGTCAAAGCAAGGGTACTTTACACGTTTAGGGTTGTGTACGGCCTGCATGGCGTGCGATGATTCCGTGGCGTTCATATCTGAGTTGGTTACCCAGTGCCACATGTCCACGACTTTGTATCGTATCATGCAAATACACACAGGAGTTTAATGTGTTGAAGGAATAATGTGCATTTTTTTTTTTTTTTTTTTTTTTTTCATTCGTCTCCCCTACCTCGATATACCCCTTTCTTCACATGGGCCCTGTTCGAAAATAGAAGCAGCGAAGAGGTCAGCGTCGAGGAGTTAAAGAAAAAGGTCAAGGATTTGGAGCTGCAGCTTGAGTACGAAATAAATCGACACGAGGCTGAGGTGCAGGAGAAGTAATGAAGCAAAAAAAAAAAAAAAAAAAAAAAAAGCGAAAAAAATGTGCCAAAAAGGCACGACAACGTTGCCTGCACAAAAGAGGGCAAACCTCTCTCGACCCGCTCGAATCTGTTCAGATCTGCACATGTGTATGCACTCCCCCATATGTGGTACAAGAACCCACCTCCATGCACAATGCCCTCCTGACACAAATTAGTCTGAGCACATGGCCGCTCACCTACCACTCATTTTTTCGTTTTTTTGTAACCAATGAACAGAGAGGAAAACATAAGATCACTGGAGGAAAAAATAAACGAGTTAGAAAATTCGAAAAAAGAATCAGATGAAAAGGATGAAGCCATCCTAAACATGAGCGAAAAGCTCCTCATCCTTTCGAACAAATATGATGTCTTGGTGAAGGAATCGAAGCTACAGGAAGAGGAGCTGAAACATTTAAAAAATAAAAAAAAATACAAAAACGATAATACGGATGAGTTCCTAATTACACTAAAAAAACAGAATGAAGATTTTAAAAAGGACAATGAAATGTTAACAAACAAATATTCCGACCTGCTCACGGAAAACAGTACCCTTAAGTGTTCATACAAAATGCTACAAGAACAGCTGCAGGAGAGTCAGAAAAATTTGGAACTGGTAAAAATGCATAATACAAAGGTGAGTTGTGTGCACTTGGGATGGAAAGTAACATTTGTAAATAGGAGCTCTTTCACTAGTTTCTCTTGTTCCATCGACATGTTCATGGCGTCGTTCCATGTGTTAACGTGCACCCCAACACATGATCTCTTCCGTCCACCATACACCGTACAGGAGTTTGACGAGAAAGGCGCCCTTCAAATTTTAAACCTCGGAACGGTTGGAAAATTTTTTACTCGTGCATGTTTCACATCTCTTCCCAGTTTTTAACACCATGTGTTGTTTTTAAAAAATTGATCTTTTTTTTGTTTATCGTAATGGGTGCTCTCTTTCTGAAGGGGGGAGGTTGTCCCAGCCATGTGTGTGTGTGTGTGTATGAACTTTTCCTATGTGATGAATCCACTTATTTTGTTATTTCTCCGCATCGCTATTCTCTTCATTTTACCTTTACCCCTTCCCCCGTGCACTTAATTCCTTTCATCCCATTTCAGGGGCTACTGAACAAGACGAGCTTCAGCAAAGGTACCAACTCGTGTTGCATTTGTCTCTTTAAGCTGATTTGAGTTCCCACACATTTTTTTTTTTTTTTTTTTTGTCGCATTTTTTCTTGCAGATGGAAAGGAAGGTAATCCGCTCAAACTAGAAATAGAGTACAAAGATATGATAATAAAGAAATTGCTGCGGAAGAGGTTCACGGAGGAGATAATGAAGGGAATGGACCAAAGCAACAATGGCAGCTGCAACGGGAAGGACAGTACAATGGGAAATGATTGCCACCAGAAGGGGGAGGACAACTCACAAAAAAATGACACCTTTAACCACAACGGGGAGCAACTAATTACATTCGAGGTTAGTCTTTAAGGCAAGTGAGGTGAATCATCTTCTCGCTCACTTTGACCTGTATTCGTTCTACTCCTTTTATATCGCCATGGATACACCTCTGTGTCCATCTTCCTTTTTTTTTTTATTCCTTTCTTTTAAACCGTTCCCCCTTTTGTACGCAGAAAAAACTGGAGGAGATGTACCAAAAGTGTGTGGAGTCGCAGAGTGACAATGACCAATTAAAGGTAGGGAGAAAAAAAGCAAGGGAAAAACACCACACCGATCAGCATCGTCATGGATGTAGCGTCGTTAGCCCTCCCCCTGCTTCTACACCCAGCGTGGATACCACACGTGTATGCCCCCCTTTTCTAACACCCAACTTGCCCTCAGAACAAAATTAAAAAATTGTCTGATAATATAGATGACCTGAAAAAGGAAAACGCAGATTTGTTGGGAATAATCGTAAGTCACTTTTCCTCCCCTTCTGTTTTTTTTTTTTTGCCACCCGCGTGTAGCGAATAAATATAAAACTGGGTCTTTATTTTTTGCATGGCGATAAAATCCTTGTGTTGATTTGTATATTATCTGATCCGTTCATATTTTTTTTTTTTTTTTTTTTTTCCTTTTCCCTGTACCCCGTTGTCTTCTCCATTTAGGACACTCTGAGGGAGTACATCAGCAAGGCCTATCGCGAGGACGTCAATGTTCACCAGTAAGTCCTTCCCCCCTCACTTGCATTTGCCACTGTACGCAGCGCATTCCCCCCATCTGCATCTCTCCTTGTAATCACTCCCTCCAAAATTTGCAGATTTGACGACTTGATAAACAACCTCCTTAAGGAGAACTCCACCCTGAATGACGAATTGTCCAAGCAGAAAAGGAAGTAAGGAACCCCCCCTGGGAGAGAGAAAAAAAAAAAAAAAAACATACATTGGAGCGTGGTGATAGCACGTGCGCGCTGAACACACCAATCAGTACGCAACACGTGAAGGTGTGCCCTGTCTAATCGATTCTTTATCCCCCCCCCCTTTGCGCGAACACTGAAACTCTCTCACAGGAACATGGTGGACACCTACTTCTTCAACAAAGAATTGCAACTAATACAAAGTGACAAATTTAAAATTATAGAAAAATTTGATGAGGCCAATGTGAATAATTTCCCCCACCTGTACGAACCGCTAAACGTGACTCTTAACGAAGCTCCACATGAGTACCATGACGAGATGGCTGAAAAGAGGGAAGCAGGACAAGGTAACGATGAAATTGCTAATCCCAACAAGGACAAGGATGAGAAGAAAAATGCAAAACAGTCCCACCTGGTCAAGTCCAACAAGCCGGTAATCACAGACGAGTTGGTTCACACGTACATGAAGGATTATATGATGAATGTTCAGAACAGGACATGATGGTAGGTGGGGGTCATCTGACAAAGCGGTTAAGCGGAGAAGGAAAGGGACACTTCAGTTATACCTTCCTCTGGTTATAATGCACCACTTTAAGATCTGCACGTGTGTACATTTCACCGAATGTTAGCAGTTACAAAAAGGAGGATACACACTGCGAGTTATTTTTTTTTTTAGTTCCTTTTTCGAGCCTTTTTTTGGTGCGTTTCGGTAGCTCGCGCAGCCCCATTTACTTCCTCAAATCAGGCAAACGCATTAACAAAGAAAAAAAAAAAAAAAAAAAAAAAAATTATCGACGTGTTCCAACTTTCTTCGGCTATTTCCTCAACTCAGTCGTGCAACCGTGTTAGGCACGAAAAGGGCCACATTCCTTTTTTTCGTTTTTTTTGTCTTACGGTGGGCCATGCCTTGTCAAGTTAACCGGCACTGGTTTGTACGTTTATGTTTGTGTTAATGCTCATGCGTGTGTACTATTTTTGTGGCTTTCACCTTTTGTGTGTACTGTGTTCGCTTTTATTATTTATTTATTTTTTTTTTTTTTTTTACCCCACTGAGCCAACATTTCTTAAGAAGATAAAAAGCGCGAACTCGTTTTTTTGTACCCCATTTGGGTGTGCGACCCAACCCAAGTTCGCCCAGTCATGTGACGGCCACATACTTTTCAAATGTCCACCCTTGGAATTAATAAAAGCTGAAGTTAAATGTGCATTTCGCGGGGAAAGCAAACTGTTTATAAGCATAATATTATAACAGTACGGTCCGCCCAGTCACTCTGAGGGAGCTTCCTATATGGAGTCCCTTCTCCCCTTACAAAGGAATAATTCACAGCTCACTCACAAGTGTAATAAAATTGACCAAAACAAATGAGCCACAATAAGTCACGATAGGACAGCTTTTCCAACCCTCCCTTTTCCTTCCCCCTCTTTGATAATACCCCAAACGAACATGGACTTGGATGAACTTGAAGAAAGGATAAAAAAACTCGAAGAGAATATTGCAAAATTTGAAGAGCAGGAGTTACGCAACATAGAAAATATAAAAAATGAAATAAAAGTACTTGACACACATGTAAGCGAATTAAATAAAAAAAAAAACAACAAGCAATTGCTAAATGCGAACAAATGCTTTGCACAAAAATTATTGCAAAAAAAAGGAAACTGCAACAAAAAAAAAAAATACATCAAGGAAATAAAAAAAGACATTCTTTTTCAATTACAGTTAGTGAAGGATGAAAATAAAGAAAAAAAAAAAAAAGACAACTTTTTGCACAAACATTTTAACTTTCAATACATAAAAGAATTCACTGACCAAGTGAAGCAACACTTTTTAATGTTAAATGTACAGAGAGAGTATTCCCTCAAATCTTTGTTTGACGAAATTAGCAAAATTAAAACCAAAGCTATTGCATACTTCAACAAATTTTTAATCATACAAAAAGAAATTAACTTCCTGCTGCAGTCGATAAATAACAATGCCCTGACCGACCTGTTCGTCTTGGCCAAAAATTCCTTGCTCTTTCAAAAGGAGGTGGCCAACATGTTTCAGCGTTTTTACCACCAGGTGGAAAATTCCCTCACAGGGCTGTGACTGCTGAGGGGGTCCGAGGGAAAGGCGCTTTGACCGTGTGGGCATTCGCAGTGTGTATATTTTACCGCGTCTGCAATTGCGAGGCGCCATTTTGCGTAACTCTGCTTTAATACCCTTTCAGAGTGGGGTTACACACTTCCCGTTGCGGCAAAAAATAGACGACCTTGCAATCGCTGCCGAATGAGCCCCCTTACAATTCTCCATCCTCTTTAAAGTCTTAATCGTTTGTCCCTAGGGGTGCACAAGAGAAGAGAAGCCTGCCTTAAAGGAGCCCCTCGTTCAGCATGCTCCAGAGGGTACCTTCCCCGGATTGGAAACTATAAGCCTTGGAGCGCGCGGCGGAACAGGATCGTGCAGCTATCCCAACAAGCACACTGTGCACACAACTATCGCCCTGTTCCTTTCGCTGATTGGTCCGGTTCGCAACTTTTTTTTGTTTCATTGCTTTTTTTTTTTTTTACATCGCATTGGAAACCGGTACAAGAGCGTGTTGGTGAAAAAAGGACATTTTTTTTTTTGCATATATTTGAAAACTCAGTTGCATTTTTGTTCACTTACTTAATGCAATTTTAAAGCATTTTTTTTTTAACCCTTTAAAAATATGACTCCCTTTAAATGCTCACACAACGTGCAGGTGGGAAGGTCCAACAACGATGTTGCCACGTTTGACACGTAGAGTGTGGAAAAGAAAAATAGAAATTGAAATGTGTGGCAACGGGTGATAGAGAGACTGTCAAGTGATACGGAGCGTTAGCACAGCACGGAAAAAAAAAAAAAAAAATACATATGTATGCCCACCCATTGGAGACCATAAAAAAAAAAATGTGCAAAAATTACCTATCCATCCTTTTTTGTGATAAATATTGCGGCGATACACCGTTACATGTTTTTCTTTCCACTGCGTTATGACAGTGTTCTCTGTGGGGTGAATTGCTACGTGGAAGAAGGGCGACGTCACACTTTAACAAACTCTATGTTGCCCCTGTGAGTGGCGAAAAGATTCACAGAAAGGACTGTGTTGAAGTATCGCCCGCTTCACGATTCGAACTTTGTACTTCGGATCAGCACACATAACATCACGCATATAGAATGCACGTGCGGCTGCTACAAAGTTAGGGCACGCACAAACCCTGTGGGCGCCGTCGTAGTGGTGGTGTAGGTGTATCTACCTTGTACACATATATCTTGCTATCACCACTGCGCCAATGCATCATCACAGCACCGGTACCACTTGTACACGCTCCTACAAGAAGGGACAAACCTAATAAGAAACTTGCAGCTGTACTACTTGTTTTATCCTACACAGATGGTACTTTTTTTTTTCTTTCCAAAAGTGGAAGTTACCTGAATGATTTCTTTGCCGTCCTTTTTTTCTTAACTATTACATATATAGGTATATATTCAGATGTGGGTAAGGGTTGCAAAAAAAAAAAAAAAAAAAAAACGCCAACTGCGAGGTGCGAACGAAGGAATAAATAATGAATTCCACCCAAATTATAAATGTACGAGCAAAGTTAGAGCACCGGTCAATGGGATTAAACAGGGTTGAGAAACCAAACTGAAACTTTTCTCCTTTTACGAGCAGATTATATGTATATATCAAACGCCGCCGTGGCTATATGCTTCATCCTATATATATAGGAAGGCCAATTTTATGTTCACCACGGTGCAGCCATTTTTATGCGTAAAAACAATGCATACCCCAACAACGGGGTTATTCCTTTCTTTCCTTTTATTTCTTTTACTTTATTATAGATTTAAAAAAAGAAAAAAAAAAAAAAAAAAGAAGAGGAAAAAAGACTACGCTTCTGTTTTTTATACTGTACGTTGTTGTGACCACTCTTGTCGCGTTTGCCCCACTTGGCAATCCACGCAGAGTAAAACCTCTACCCCCATTTTTTTTTTTCCACGTACAAGCGAAGAACGCAGTGAAAAAGATAAGAAAAAAAAAGGTTACGGGAAAAAAGCACGCAAATAGGTATGGGGAAAATGTACGCTAAAAAATGTACATATAAAAATTATGCAAAAAGGTACCCAAACCACCACAGCGAAAAAATCAAACGGAAAAAAAAAAAAAAAAGTAAAAAATTTCCACTTACCGTATTTTTCATCATTTTGCAACGCGCTCAGTTGACCATTCTCAGTGTTTTCATTTTTTGAGGCCATTTCCACAATTTTCATTTTTTTTGGCCTTATTCAACATTTCATCTTTCAGTTTTGTATTTTTAAAAGAGCGTAACCTCTGTTTGATTATATATGCCCGAGAAGGGAGAGTACGGACAATCCATTCCTCTCAACACTTACGTTTTGAATTGTCATTTTTTTTGCGGGGGCTTAGTCCGTTTGCGTACAAGATATATGTACATGTTTGTTTAGAGCCCCCTTGGTGTGTCACCCCACAGCAGGCGCGAGGTGCTTACATGAAATGCCAATCGCGCATACCGTCCTCCGTACTTTCCCTCGAGATTGTGCATACCGCGCATGCATCCCTCTCTCGTTACATCATACATGCACAACGCGAAGCTCCCATTTTGTTGCTCACTTCGTGCGGCTATATTTTCAAACCGGAAAAGGGGGAAAAGCCCAATAACGTGACGAGAGAAATAGCCATTTGGAGGGAAATTTTTATTTTATATATATATATATATATATGTGTATATGTATATATTTTTTTTTTTATTTTGATTTGTTAACCAAATAAAGTTAATCCGTTCCAAAAAGCACTTGCCCTTTTTGGAAACCTTCCAGGGATGCTGACTTTGTTTGCGTGTTAGGCGCACAACAGCTACCCCTTGTCCCGTAGCGTGTATACACACCTATACACGCATGCACATGTGTACGCCTAAACAGACCTTTGTGCATGTACAGGCAGGCATACCTTATGCATATGTCACACACAAGGACGCACACTAGTGTTACATAGTTAATCTTCGAGCAACGCACTCGCGTGCCACCAAGTGAATAAGCAGTGGAAGAACCAATCGGACGAAAAAGTACAACAAGCCACTCGCTTATTAGAAAAAATGAAAAACTACAACGGTAATAGCTCTAGGAGCAAAATGAAGGGGGAAAAAGGCGCTGCCCAGGGTGCCAGCCATGGCGGTGGATATAATGGCGGCTATGGCGCTGGGTATAGTGCTGGTCACAACTACAATAGCGGTTATTACCCAAACACCAGTTCATCTTACCATAAAAAAAAAAACAGCGCCAAGTACGGAAAGGGCGCGTACGATAATGAGTACACAAAGGAGAGGGATAAGAAGAGGAAGAATTTCGATGGGAGGCCTCACAAAAATGAGCAATCGGCTGGTGGACACGGGAATAGGGGTAATACGAATAGGGGCAACGCCAGTAGGGGAGGCCCCAATAGAGGAGGCGTTGACAATAGCGCGCACCTAGGCGACGCCCAGACGCATGAAGACCTTTCAGCATTTAGTCTGAACAAAAATGATAACATCTTCGAAGACGTGGACAGAATAAACAGCATCACGTTCGGTCACAATGACAACCCCGAGGGGGAATTCTCCTACACCATGAATAACAGCCTAATTGAAAATGAAAAAAAATTATTTAAGTTAAACAAATGGGACCATAAAAATGTGGACTCCTCCGAGTTTTTGCGTCTACAAGAAAGGGATCTCATTGATAGCAGCTCTGCACATTTTCGCAAACGGGAGGATGAAAGGGATCCCTTTTTTGCGTACAACGAGAGGGAGAAGCGGCATCAGCATCAGAATGAGCAGCGGCAGGAGCAGGCGGGGCTTTACGGGATTGACGAAGGAGTCCCGTCGAATGAAGCAGGCCACAGTAACAAGCACATGCAAAACCTGAGTTTCCCCTCCAACAGCAAACAAAGGAACAACGAAAGTGACGACCTCTTCCAGTTTGACAACAAAATGTGTAACCTAACCAAATTTATTAATAAAAATATTTTTTACACAAATGAAAATGATGAGGTGAAAGGAGACGCATTGAACGACGATGAGTCCGTTGAGAGTGCAGATCCATTCGGTTTTATTAACCCCCCCGAGACGAATAAACAGTCAGTACAAAACAAGGTCTTAAGCAAAGGAGATATTAAAAGCCCCTCCAACGATAAAGAACACATACAAAGAAAATTTTACCTAGAGGAGGAACATCTGAATAGGGACCAAGAGGACAACGAATTCGAGAGGAAGGCAAATGCCGATTCGTACAGACTGAACGAAAATGATTTGACCAAAATTTATATGATGAACAATTTTGAACAGCTCCATGATAACAGGACTTTTGTTGAAAATTTCGAGGGCGATTATTTACACATGTTAGGAAAAAAAAATATGAAAAAGGAAAATATGAATAATAACGTAGTGGGGGATCTCCAAAGGAGACGTGGCCCAGAGGAAGCCGTAGGAATGGATGGACTCCCATGGGGACAAGACCAATCCGAGCAGGAGAGAATGTTACAACATACCCTGATGAACAATGAGGACAGGAATTTTCCTATCAGAGGAATGAACGAACTGATGTTCGATAGCAGAAATGGTGAACTGGACGAAAATTTGCAATTCCTGAATAGCCTCAGAAATGTGTATGGCCACTTGGGTGAGGAAGAAGGAGGTGCGAGGGGGCCCGCCATGTCACCTATATCACCCATAATGTCACCCGTGACCCGTGTGCGTGATTTGAAGGGAGGACACACCCCCGTTATTGATGCCACATACACTAATGATGTGCGCATGAAGGAGGAGCAGCACCACCAACTGCGTCAGATGCAGCAGTTGAGGTTAGCATCGGAGGAGAATTACCTGGACCACTCGGGCAAGATACCAACTGACTTGGCCAATCTAACCAATCTATACCCCTTCAAGGAAAGCGAAATAAATGACGACTTCCTCTTAAGCATGAACGAAAAGCAACCAATGGATCCTTTGAAGGATGATGAGTATTACTTGAAAAATGATAAAACTAATCACCATTTAGTGAATGATTTGAGGAATTATACGGAAGGGTATAAAAACGAATCGTTTATATTTCCTGAACAGCCAGATCCCTCAAATGATTTTCTGTTCCAAATGGGTCCCACCAAGGGAATCCATGTGGGGGACATGCACAGAAGAGCAGATATGGGGGTACCTCGACAGGAAAGAATGCAACTCGGAGAGCGATTAATTAGTAGGCATATTATACCCCCCTCTGAGGAATATGCATTGAGGAATAACCTCGAAGAAGAAAATTATTACGCCAAGTTGAATGAAAAAATAAAGAATGTAAAGGAAGAGGAGGACGAAGATTTATTATTGTTTAATCAAGACGGGGACTTAAAACTGGATGTAACCAATGACTTGAACGCGCTGAAAATTTTGAATAACTACTACTTGGATGACAAGACAAATGATTTTATGTTAATGGAAAGGAATAAGAATTCTCTTCTTGGTGGGGAGTTCAACTTGTCGGGGGGTGCGGGTTATAATGATGAGCATGACCCAGGGGAAAGATCACCAAATGAACGGGAGAGGTCCCGTAATGAACGCTTGCCAATGGAGAGACCACCCAATGAGCGCATTGTACGTGATCGTCCCCAGGCCAACAAACACGGGGGACACAAAATGAAAGGCGGACCCAACTATACCAAGGATAACATCCGCAACCGCCATGGCAACCACTTCGAGAAAGGAAATAATATAAACAACAAGAATTTCCCCAATGCTCATGTGGGAATGTTACGAGATAGACCCCACAGAAGTACATCATCCAGTGGGTACATGGATAAATTTGATCAGAAAAATTATTTTTACAAAAGCGATAGAATGAAAAATAATAACAGCAATAAGGCATACCAAATGAGTTACTCTCTGTCATATGAAGGTGGAGGTGGCAAGGGACATGGTCATGCTTTGAGAAATGTGATGAGCAGTGAGATCTACTATCACACGAACGAAACGAACGGATCCATATGCGAAAATTTTATAATTCGTTTGAAAAAACAACACATGCTTAAATTAACGAGCTTTCTAAGGATGAAGTACAAAAAAGCCAACCTCAATGATCTAAATGATGACCTGTACAATTATTACAGATTTTTGAACAAAGTTAATGGAAATATCAAACAGAGTAATTACTTTTTCCGGTATCGAAATCTCATGAAGAAAAGTGACAAGGACAAATTGCTCAGGATACAACTGTCCTATATGATTATAAACCCGTCCATACAGAAGAATAGCGGCAAATGGAATTTCAAAAATGACGCTAGAAATGATGAGTCAGGGCACCCAACCCTGAAGGATGGCCATGAAGCGGGCTATGGAATTGATAATGACGGAGCAGGTGAAGGACACCATAGGAGTGGAAGGCGCATCACAAGTGGAGACCATACCGATGGCGAGGCTGATAGTGTGGACAGTGGTGATAGCGAAATTATAAACCTTGCCGGCGGAGCGGATAGGATAAGAAACAACTGTCTTACAAACGATAATAATTTTACCATGCTTTATTCCAATGGGGAGGCAGAAAAACTCTACAGCCTACTACATGATGATAATTTTGACCTGCACAGCGAAAATATACTCAACATTGACCTGAACAAAATATTAAATTTAACGTCCAGCAGCCCAACAGGAATGAAAGGGGATGATGCGAACGCAGAAAAGGGAAGGGACAAAGACGGGGCAAATGCTGGTGAGAATGACAACACAGGTAGAGAGGACGGTGCCAAGTCTGATCATCCAAATGTGGCAGATAAAGGAGAGAACGAATGTCAAGTGTCAAAAGAGGAAACGGGAAAAAAAGGAGAAGCTAGCGGCCTGGATGAAAAAAAAGCTGGAGGACAAAACGATACATCTAAGTATGACAACACAAACAAACTGGGTAGATTTGTTTTCGCCACTGTGCATGAACCAAGAAACCTAATAACCCTAGCGAAGAATAATCCCCTATTTGATAGCTACGATGAGGTGGTGGAAAAATTTAAAAATATTATACTTAGTGAGGTTACCTTGGAGCGGGGAGCAAACGGGGAAGGTGAAGGGGATACTTCTACACCCATTAAAAAATGCACCTCGAAGAGCGTAAAAAAGAAGGATGTAAAAAAAGGAGAAGACAAAAACGGCACGCAGGACGAAAGAACATTTGCAAAGGCCAAGATTCCCATGCAAGATGTCGTCACGAAGAAAATGCTAGAGATGCTGTGGGACCTCTATATAGACATAAAGAACATTTACAAAGACATTGACAAGTGCCCTTATACACACATCGAAACAATATCCAAATATAATGAAGAGATTAAAAAGAAAAAAAATACTCTCTTTAATTTTATCCTCTTGAGGAAGACCAGCGACGAGGAAACCATTTGCAGTTCCCTCATGAATTGTCATAACAACTTGTTCTTGAAGAATAACATAAGCAACGTCGACGTCACTGTTAACAAGCATCTTTACCTATACCTAACGGACTCACTCTACAGCAGCATTAATACGAATTTTGAACTTCTAATTCCCCCGACTGTTGAAGAGTTGATTATTAACTTGTCTTTTGACAAGACCCATGTGGCGAAATATGTCAAGCGAGGGTTGGAACCCCATTGCGGTGAGCAGCCAGGTGATATGGAGACACCCCCCAACGGTACCGCCACTACATCACATAGCAACATTAGCAACATCTTTGCGCACCGCTTCCCCTACAAGGACAACCTAGCGGAGCTGGGAAGCTCCACTCAGTTTGGAAAAGTCATTCATTTCAACAGAACGTACTGCAACTACAACTTCGGAGGCTACAACGAGTGGGATATTTTTGCGTCCTCCGAGAGTGGTGCGAACACTACAGCAAATGGTGCCTCCGTGGGGACCCCCAAGGAAAAGAAGAAAAAGTCCTTCTTTTTCTTTAAGGAGAAGCAAAGTAAAAAAAATGAAAATGACTTAGCGAGTGAAGAAAAAACAAACACAGACGTCGCCACGTCCACAAACAGCAGCAGAGTACACAACGAGGTAACAAAAATGGATGTGGACACAAATCACCTGAATGAGGAACTCCAAAAATTGAAGAGTGTACACTGCTTATTCGTTAATAGCATATTGAAGAAAAAAGGAGCATGTGTATACAAAAAGATATTAAAGGTTGTAAAAAGGAAAAAGAGAATGACCCTCATTTACTCCTTCTTCAGTAACTACCTTCTTTTGCTTTTCCTCTTTGCCCATGCGGATTATTGTTTTGAAAATATGCACCATTATGAAGAGTTCCTAAAGTTGCAGCTGCTCCACATGAACGCTAACATAAACACACTGAATAAGTTTATTAAAAATGAGAAAATGCAAAACATATTTTTCATGAATGAACACGAAGCCCAATTGAGAAATAGCGGGTTACACCAGTTTATTAACATTAGATGCAAACTCTACAGTAGCAATGTTTATTCATCACTCTATATCTACCTCTTGGATGTCTCTCTGTCCTATTTGTTTACCCCGGGCATTGGCATTGCTTACGTGCAAAGCATCTTGGCTCTCCTCCTCTTCTACAACTACGTACACTTGTACATAACGAAGCTTCTCTTTTACAAGGTGAGTATTGAGAGGAGCGTCCTGTTTAGCGGCGATATCGCGTCACTTTGCATGTTTCACCACCCCACGCAAATGTATAATTCTTTTCATTTGTTGACTTCTTTTTTTTTTCCCCTTTTTAGAGTGGAGCCGCCCTCTTAACCATTTTCCTTGTCAAAATTATCCCCTACGTTAAGGAGTTTGATAGGTTCGTTTTTTTTTTTTTTTTTTTTTCCCATTTTGGGAAGTGAGCAAAAGTGGAGAGCCTCCATTGTGTGTGCGAACATCCTCTGCATGGGATGCAGCATAGCATGGCTACTCCGTGATGTGTATTTGTTTTCCATTTTGCCGCCGACTATGCCACATGTCATGCTTCCTTTTCCTTCCCTTCCCCACCGCAGAGACCTTATAATTTGCTTCCTCTACTCTGTGCTGCACAGCGTGTTCTACATCCTGTGCAACATCTTCACGCACCGCCTGGAAGAGGAGAAGCGGACACACAACGGACCCGAATCGGAGTTGCACTTGAAAATCTTAATGAGCATGCATAACGAAATTAGCTTTTACAAAATTGTGTACAAGAGTGTGTGCAGTTATTCCCACCAGGACAGCTTCTTGCAGGAGGAGATCGCCAACATGCTAGAGTAAGTCGCTACTTCGAAAAGTCGGGGAGGGTGTGCTTACGGGTTAATATGCGTGCAGTCCCTAACCCCACAATTGTTACTAACCGTGTGCCCTCCGCCATCATGCCCACATTATGTGTTATTATCGCACCACCGCTTCACCTCATGCCTTTGTGTTTTTCCCCTCCTCTCCCTTTTCTTACGACAGAGATTTAGGCCAGGATCCCATCGTAAAGGTCATAATGAACTACATTCAAAAATGAGAGAGAGAACCGCCTGATTTTTAAGGAGAAGCCCCCCCCCCCAATTCGGTTAACATCATTTAGGTCATTATAGTAATGCTGTGGGGGAGAAACGACGCCCCTTTCTTTTTTGTCTGTTAGTTTGTTTATGGTTGGACAATTTAAGGGAAGGGAGCGGACACCCCCTTAGAGCAGTAATCACCTCCCTTCCCCCTTGTATATTATCAAAATAATAATGTTGTCGTCGTACCATTTGGTTACCTTTTTTTTTTTTTGTCCTATTTACATACGGGGGAAGCACACCTTGGTTGAGTCAAACAAGAATAAAAAATCGAGGTGGAATAATTCCTACCCATTTGTAATGTCCTCCCGACTAAGTCGTTATTTGTTATTTGTTATGTGTTTTTTTTTTTTTTTTTTTTCTCATTTTTTAAAAGTAAATTTTTTAAACTAGTAAATTCTTCTATATAAAGCATGTATTTGTATCATCTCATGCATGAACGAAAAAAAAAAATAAAAAAAAGAGGCACATTCGCACGGAATACATTTCTGCAGGAAAACTGGTGTGGACTTCGTGGTACCTTTTCTCAGCTGTCGAGTATTCTCACCAGGCGCACGAGGTTTATGTGTGAACACAAAGGGGCCAATGTTTCATGGTCTTGATGCCCAATTGTGTTAACTGCGCATTTGGGCGGTGATGTAAATATATTTATACACACACATATATATATACTTGTGTGTACGGGTGTGACTCCGCCTCTGCTCTGCTGGAGGGCGAAAATTGTACCACTCACAGTAGGAAATGCAAAGGCCTACATATAAATTTGGTAAAAGCAAAAATGTAAAAAAAAAAAAAAAATTATTAACATGTGGAGAGGGGCAAGGGGTAGGGTATTTTTTTAAAAGGACGGGATGATAAAATGGATGCCGCACGCGCGACAAATAAAGGGAGGAGACCCATACGAACGGACAGGGGATTGAACAAACGAAAGAGACGGGAGCACCATGAACGTTTAACACACATCTCCCCCTACCCCACCCCAAAAAAAAATAATTTAAAAAAAAAAAAAAAAAAAAACTTTTAGTAGACGCTCTCCTTCCTGCTTCTAATATAATTTTTAATGTTGGGCAAGTTGCTAATAAACTCATTATGGGCTTTCAGTAGAGGAAAATTTTTTAAACTATTTGGGTACTTTGTTTCTATATCATCATATAAATTAAAAACAGCCAAATCGGCGTACGTTAAAGAATCACCAACAAAATAATTACACTTGTTTTTTTTTAAAATATTCTCAAAGTAGCCTGACCATTTTGGCAACTCCTCATTAAGAAAGGTAGTCTCATTCTGCTTAAACAAATTTGTATTGTTAAATTTATAATGTATGTCTTGTACTCCACAAAAAATCATATCTGCATAAAATTCGTTCAGCTCTGTGTTTCCACCTATTTTGTACTTCTTTGAGAGGTACCTTACTATGGCTTGACTTTGAGCAAATATTATATTGTCCATTTCTAATATGGGGACTTGGTTAAAAGGGGTGTCCTTTTCCTTTTTGAAGTTCTTGAACTCGATGAAGGCATCTCCGTTTTCGCCGAAACGCTTGTCCGTGTACTTGATGCCCAGGTAGGCGAAGATCAGCCGAATGAGTTCGGCCTTTCCCCTGCGATGGAGAAGCGGTCAATGTGTGGTTAAGAAAGGTTAAGAGGTGGCCAGTTCGCGGTTTCCAAGCAACCACGGCGCGAATTATACCCAATGAACCGTACGATTATGTGTGCACTAGCCTTTGTGCTCCCCGCCTTGTCCCCCTTTCTTACCTCGCGTCAAAGTAATATAGGACTATCTCCTGCGCCATTTTTGTGTGCAACGAAAGATTTGTGGGTCCTTTTCAAATTCTCAAAATGGAAATGTGCAAAGTGGGTATGTGGACAGGTAGTCGCGGTGTGCACATATACATCATCCCTCCTCCCACTGCTACTGCTGCGAGCGGTCTGCAAAAATGTGAGGTCTTTCTCAACTGATCAGGAAAGGTGCGCGTCGGTTAAAGCGTCGCGGTTTACTTGTAAACACGAGTTTTAAGGTAAGGGAGAGAAATGTGTAGGTGAAAGGTGCCTTTTATTTCACTAATTATTTGGACCACTGCCTGTTTATTTCGTTTCTCGTCTTCTTCTTTAAAGCTACTGAATATTGCCAACCCGTTTGGGGCCAAATTAAAAATATTGAACAAAAAAAAAAAAAAAAAAATTTATGTATGGCAAATGGGGAAAGGTGTGAAGCAAAACCACTATGTAGCAGGTCACGGCATTCGTACATCTCGCTTTTTTTTCCAACGGCACAACTTTGGAAGACCCCCTAGAGCTTTATGTAACTATGAACAAATCGCAAAAAAATAAAATGAACAACGAAGAATAAAAAGCCTGAACAAATAACTGTGCGTGGCACACGCGTTCAGGGATTAGCAACGTGGTGATACCGCAAAATGAAGGGAATTTTAAATTGGGGCAAGAAGGAAAGGTAAAAAATGAACAAGTATGGGAAATAGTTTCAGCTAAATTTCTAACAAGCGGCTGTTTGTTTTTAAAGAATGGGGAGACTGTGGAATGCAATTAAAACTGCGTCGCAGCGGTGAAATAAAAAAGTTGCGAATTAAAATTCGAATATGACGTGACACAGGTGCGGGGTGAAAAAATGTGAAGCCTATAACGTACTCTTTAAAAGTATTCCAACGATTGGCTTATGTTGCCGCCTATACAATGGGGTCACAGTGTTTGCATCGGTGTTTTCATCAATGTTCGGCACCGGCCTTATATGCACAGTGGGTGAGAAAACAATCTGTGCAGAAAAAAAGGAGCGCTTGAGGGAAGTGTGACACCTTGGTCGTGTGCTGGATGCATTTGCACGTACATACATATCCATATGGATACATATGGAGGGAAAAAGAAAAAAAAAAATTGTTGTTGATGCTACTTTTTGTTTTTTTTTTTTTTTCTAACCCTGTAATGTAAGAAGTTCACATAAACACTGAAGTCGGTTTTATACTTACCCTCGACATCCTTTGCACAGCGAAGTTCCTACTTGACCGTTTAACCAGTTTCTCTATACATACACCCTCAATGTTGTGTTTGTATAGGCGTGCCTACATATGTGTACATATATATGCATACTTATAACCATGCGAGGAAGTTACGCCACCTGAATCAAACTTGTGTGTTGCCCACTCGTCCATTGGAACATTCAATCGCGTTCCTGTGTTACCATTTCACGTCGCTTCCCTTTTCTACTTGTGCAAAAATTGAGATACATTAAAAGGGGGAAAAAAAAAAAAAATTCCCCCCTTAGGAAAGATACCATGTGCAATTAATCTTTCGGGGGTTGTTCTACAAAGCGTTTGCAGAATTCATAAACCCCAACTGACCCATGTGTATTTGCTTTGCGTTGTATGAAAAAAGGTTATTCGTGGTGTGTACCGTACTAACGGCAGAGGGAGTTTATTCTGCTGGTCGGAAGTAACCGCAGCACGTTCGCCTCGACAAATACACAAAAGGGTGCCACCGTGTACCAGCATGTGTGCATACAAGTACATATGCATATACTTATGCTGACCTGCACGGTAGCGCTGTTTCGTTTAGTCACTCGACTCTACATTTGAATTCCCCAATTGGTGCCTTTTAAAAAAAAAAAAAAAAAAAAAAGGGCACCAAAACGTTTGAGGAATTGCCAACTGAACTTTTTCTCTTCTCTTCTGTTGCTCCCGCTGTGGCATCGAAGATTAAAATAAAAACATCTTTTCATACCCGCTCACCGTATACGTTTGACATTCCCTCTCACTGGAGCATTTTTGAAGCGTAAAATTCGGAACGCGATAGCAACATAAAGCGGTTTGAACAAAAAAGCAAAAAAAAAAAAGTCAAAAGCTCACACGAAGGGTAACACGCGGTAGAGAGAGTTCCCGAGTGTAGTACCCATAGCAGCCGTGACAATCGTGGCCACCTCAGCATTGGTAGCGGGAGACCGCATAGGTATAGCTATCTAAAAGCCAAGGGGGCAAAGAAGAAGAAAAAAAAAACGTTGGGAGGAGGACTCCACGGAGAAGAGAAAACAGCCCAAGTGGAAAATCAGCGACGAATCGAAGCTCAGAATCAACTATAGAGGAACGTAGAACGCAAAACAAGAAGAGACTAGAAAATTTTCAAGGGAAGAAAAACCAAAATAGAGCAAAACAGAACAAAACAAAGCTTAAGCCAAACAGAAGCGAAACTGTTGTCACCACCTTCAAGTAGCATCAAGGAAGTCTCTTGATGACCGTTTCCTCGCCTCCCTAGAATGATAAAGATATTTGTTTTTTTTATCTTCCAAGTGTTTGTAGTGTGTGTAAAAAATGTGAATGCGGTAAGTGCGGGGAGGGCGATAGATAATCCGCTGCACCCCAAGGGTGCGGCGCGGTTGGCATAGGTATATAAGCGTACACACCCGTATGCATCCTCTTAATGGGCGTAGATCCTGCCGATCGACCTGCACCTATTTCCCTCTGGCACGTCTCACATGTCTTCATAATTTCCGTTTGCTCTCCCCCCGTAGGTGAATCCAAAAAGTTTTTCCACCATAAGGCACGTGAATGCGCCCCTAGGATGGCAATCTAACCGGCACAGGAAGTATAAAAATTGGAGATTTTACCAAAGAGAAGGGAGTCTTCCCTTGTGACACCACGTGGGATTATTCTAGCGCGTGTGTACTCTTTCCTCCATTTTTTTATTTGCATGCATTTGTTGCTTACGTGGGGGAGGTGTCTTCCCGTGCCCCTTGAGTACGCGCGGTGGACTCCCCGTGTAATCACCGCTTAACCACCACCTAACCACTTCCTCACTGCAGGTTTGCATACATTGACCTACGGAGAAGCAAAAGCGAAGAGGGGAAGCGGAACGCCCTGGCTGCGCAGGGAGGGAGCCAAAAGTGCCCCCTGCGCAAGGTGAGCTTCGCAGGCTTGATGGGCATGTCCGGATTGTCGATCCCGCTGTTCCTAGCAACATACATGATATACAACAAAATAAAAAATGACAACAAGAATTTAACAGAAGCAGAAAAAATTATGGGAAAGTACCTGTACAAGCATGAAAATAATTTGATACAAGGAAATAATTATGAAGATGAAAAATCATACAATTTATTTTATATAATCCATGCGATATATAACAATATTCGAACGTTAATAAATTTTTACATGAACGTAAAAAAAGTAAATACAAAGGATACCTCAAATGAGTACACCATTTTATTTTTCCATTCGTACAATGTGGACAGATTTTTACACACAAGAAATATCAAAACGTATGCTGAAAGGCTTAAAGAAATTTACCAAGATATTAATAAAAAAAAAAATGTAAATATTGTGTATGTCCCCCTAGACAGCAAACTCCTTTTTAATATTAAACACTTTAGCAATATGAACAACTGGTACAGCATATTGTTTCACGATAAAAAACAAATTTTGAAAATGATAAAAAATTATAACATAATGAATATCCCTACGATGGTTTTGTTGGATAAAAATATGAACATCATTAATGACAATATAAATTATTTGCTTTTGCATGACAGGAAAGATTTTCCATACAAAGAGGTTAATCATTTAACTTATATCAATACGCTATATGACAAAAATAATCGAAAGTACGATTTTAAAAAATTAAATTCAGATTATGTACTGTTTTATTTTAATAATGAGAAAGACAACAAGGGGGACCTCCAGTCTCTGCTCAAAGTGAAGAAAAAAATGGCCGCCAAAAATATTAACGTGGATATCATTTTTGTTAAGGACATGGAACTGATGAAGGGGAAAACCTCCTCAAAGGGAGATGGCATGGTTAGTCAGCAAGAAGGTGAGAAGACAGGGCAATTGACAAATGAAAAAAGTGAGGGAAATGTTCCAGGCGAAGGAATCGGTAAAGAGAAGGACGCACAGATGTCAAGCACAAAGGAGGGACAACAGTCCACACTTCCTGGGGCTCAAAAGAAGGGGGATAATAGAAACACTGCTGAGCGAAGCAACCAAACGCATGACACAAATGATCAGACAGAACACTACGTCGACGATGTGTACTACCTAGGGGAACAAGAAAATAACGCCATTTACAAGCTCCTCCTTTATGACATGTTCGATGTGACCTTCAAACCTGTGTGCATTCTCGTAAACAAAAAGGGAAATATTATAAGCAAGTATATCCACGTGGAGAAGAAGGAAGACGAAATTGCTGGCTTTATACAAAATAATTACAAAAGTTTACACGAAAAGGCAAATGAAAAAAATTACATGTACAAATATGAAAATGTTAGTAACTTAACGAACTTAAATGTGTTCTCGCCAATATTCATTCTGTTCAGTGACAAACTGAATTTGGATTTGCTACAGCAGTACAATGATATGATTGGTCAGTATAATAAAAACAGAAAGGGAAAGAAAATTAATTTTTACTTCCTGGTCACCGACGATAAAAAGTACGAAGCGTTGAAAAAACTCTGTGCAGTAGATAACACCACCCAGGCGGTCATTTTGGATTTGTTTAACCAGAAGATGTTCAAGGACAAGGTGAACAGACTGGACGTCATCGAAAATTTGGGTGGAAAGAGCGTCATTAACAAGGAAAAGTTCTTTAGCTTCGTGAACAGGTACTATGGTGACGACTTGTACGCCTCTCCCATTGTGCTCACGAGGGGAGTCTAATCCTCCGTGTGTCAATTAGCTAAGCAGTGAGTATGCCATGAATCCATAGCACTAGTGCACCCTTGCACCACTGCACCACTACGCAATTGTACGTGTGTGCCGTTTAGGGGGAGGAACCCTTCATCAAGGCTCCTTTTCGTCCTCACAGTGCACACCGCCCCAAGGCGTAACAAAAAGGGGCCATTCCTTCATCCACAAATTGTCAATCCTTTTGTCCCATTATGGCAAATTGTTGCCAAAGTGGGATTGTCTCGTTAGTCCTCTTAGGGACAGCATTGTGGCCAAGTTTGTATTTTACATCATCCTTTTTTTTTCTACCCTCCAAAAGTGAGTCATTTTTTTTTTTTTTTTTTTGCGTATCCCCATGTGCAAAAGTTAATATTTATAATAATGTTCGTATTTTTTTTTTTTTGCCCCCTGGTTTATTATTCTTCCTTTGTCTTACACAACGGTGTGTATATTTGCATACATGTATGTACTGGTCTGTACAGCATGGAACAGCATTTTTAAGCTACACCCCTTTTTTTTTTTTTTTTTTTCTAAATGCCTCCATTTTGCGTTTTCTCGTGTATCCATTTATAATTAAGAATGTTCTTTTTTTTTCCCCCCGCACCCCTTTTGAATTAATTTCGCGTAAGAATAAAACGTTTTTTTGTTAAATTTTAAATTGACACATTTAATAATTTTTTCATGTCTCCAAGACGAAAAAAAGTATGCAACCCTTCATAATGGAATACCATTGGGAGGCAACCCATTTGCAAATAGAGGTTTCTTTTGCGTGCGCCTACACACACGTATAATTTGTATTTACACAAAATTGTATGTTCACGAGAGGATTTGGGTTGGGAAACATTTTCCTCCGTGTCCACCTCAACGCGTAAGTTATATGACGGAATGAGTGGATAAAATGCGACACATGTGTGCCAACTCGCTTTGCGTCATATGGGAGGAGAACAAAAAAAAAAAAAAAAAGAAAAAAAAATTGCCAATGGGCACGCGTCTACATGAGACTGTCGCGCCTTACAAACGCGTTTAAGTAGATATTTAAAAAAAAGATATTTTGTAACTTGGGTTAAAGGCATGCGCAAATGTGGGAAACGCAAAGTGGGATTCCGCGCACCCCCGTTGGGCACCTCCCTTTTTTGTGTCACCTGTGTTACCAACTCGCGTAACACACCTTTCCGTTACCTCCGTTTACCGCCCGCCTTGCGCCTCTTCTTCACCTTCAAGTTGTATACCTTCCTCTTCTTCTTGCTCCTTTTCCTGTTTGACGCACCTGTCTGATTTTTCCGGGGGGGGAGAGCCTGGTTCTTCCCCGCGCTGGGTGAGGTGGAAAATATTTTGTCCAGGTTTTCCATGTTCAGCAATCTGTCATATTCATCCTTGGAAATTTTTTTTTTTTTTAATTTTTTGTACAAATTTTCTTCAAAAAATAGAGACTCAATTTCGTTTTCCTCCATGTCCCTTTGTTCGTGTTTTCTCTGAACAATGGTTTTTCTTTTTTTCTGTTTTTTTTCTTGCTTCCGCTTGTGCAGTTTGCCTCCCTCCGCTTTTGTCTCGCTTTCCGCCTTCTCATCGAGCGCTTGTTCCTCACTTTTCAAATGTGCCAAGCGTGTCAGTTCCTCCTGCCGCTTTCTCTCCTTCTCTTCGTTTCTGTATGGTATGTCGGACGTGTTTAGGCCCACTCGTTTGAAATTCTTAATTTGGCTCTTCTCTTTAAATTTGGGGATTTTCACCAGCGCAAAGGAGTAGCACAGGTGCGACAGATTGAGCTTGTGGAAGGGGAAGAGAAAACTCAGCTGATGGTTTTTGTAAAACTCAATATAAGACAGAAACGCCTTGGTCGAGAGCAAATACGTTTCTCTATTCTCGATGATGAAAAAAATTAGGTACTTTAGAAATATGTTCACCATATTGTTCAGCAAAAGGATGTGATGATCATCCCTCTTGGGGAAGTGTCCCTCAGTTGAGTCTCCTTTGTGATGGTGACCCTTTGCCCCCCTCCTTTGAGCGCGTTCTCCCACTGTACTTCCATAAAACGAAAAAAATTTTTTAGGGACGGATTTCCCCATATCCCCCTTTTCTATGTTGGCTACTTCCCGCACTTGTGTGTCCAAAACGTCTTCATTTCTCATGAGTCGGGATTCCCAACTGAGCATATCCCTGAACATGCAGGTTTTTCTAAAATTGCTGATATTCACTTTTTTATTTTTTAAAAAGTATATATATTCTTTTTCCTTCTTATTAAGCAGAATGATATTTTTTCCCCTTTTGTCAAATCTTCCTGTTCTGCCACTCCTATGGATATATGTCATATTTTTATTAGCAGCATCGTAATTGATTACCCAATTAATATCAACGTTAATTCCTCTACTCATAATATCTGTGCACAAAATAATTTTTATCCTCTTCTTATTCTTGTTTTCTTTTATTTTCCTATACGCACTTATCCTTTTTTTGTCTTTCATTTTCCTGTGGATTTTTAAAAGAGTGAATTTTTTCTTCCCCATATATTTGTGAGTGTAACAAATCATTTTGCAGAAAAGCGCTAGATCAGATTGGCTGAATGCATTTTTATGTCTACTGTTTAGGGTTACTATTTGGTTAAAAATTTCCTTCGCGGTCTTCTGCTCCGTGTTAAGTACATTCTTAAATACGTGGAAGAAGAAGTCCACAGAGAAGCAGGTCGGCAGAAATACGATCACTGTCTCCCCCTCGCGCACCACTGTGCTCACGAATTTGAACAGGAAGAAACTCTTGTCCAGGTTTCGCACCGTGATGTAGTAATTTTCGATTTTGTCTGGCATTTGGAATGTGCTTCCAGCGCTGCCTTCAACGGTGCCGCCAGTGGTGCTGACAGCAGTGGCCGCAGAAACAGCAGCAGAAGAAGAAGAAGCGCCCATTGCGGTTGTAGCAGACGCAAGCGGCGCTTCCCCCCCCACGCACTTGATGAAGGATCTCCTGTTGTCAGAGAACAAGTTGTAAAATTTCTCCTCCTGCAAACACGTCGCACTGCAAATGCACGTGGCATAGTCCTTCGAGACGATGCTCTTAACCACATCCTGCACATAGTTTAAAAAACTCTCCTCCAACAGTTTATCCCCCTCATCCAGTATCATATATGCTAACTCGCTAGTGTCAAAGTACAAGTTGTGATCCACAAACAAAGTTGATAACTTCCCTGGGGTCGCTACAACGATCTGGTATCTGTTTTTTTTTCTTTTTTCATTTTTTATAATTTTTAAATCTTCCTCAATTTTTACAGCACCCCTAAATAACAACGAGTTCACAAAAAAGTCCTCCTTGTCCAATTCGTCCACATTTATGTTAAACGTTCTAGCAAAATATAATCTTATAAAAAACAAAAATTTATTTACTACGTCGTATATTTGTATGCACAACTCTCTGGTGGGGGCTACAATCACTCCATACACATGTATGTTCTGTTTGCTCTTGTTCTCACTTGTGCTGCATCGAATGGCTTTTTTTACAACGTCTTTAATGGATTCGCAATGCAGGTTGTTATCACCCTGTGGGTACTGACCATCTTTGTTAAATCTGCCCCCATTCCCCACGGCGCCATCCTTCTTGTGGGTTCTTCCCTCCAAAGAGGCCCTTATATGCTGAATAAATTTTGGTACATTTATATCAACAGGAGGGATGCTCTTTTCTATGTTTACATTTTCAAATTTGCTGTAGATAGAGTTGACTCTATCTTCGTTGTAACAATCCTGTTCTTGTTCTTCCCCTTGCTTTGCCTCCTCACATGTGGATGTGAAAAAGCGGTCCCTTGTTATGGCCCCCAGTTTGGACATCACCAAATTTTGCAGCATAGGAATAACGAAGCATAGCGTTTTCCCACTGCCCGTTTCGGAGTGCAGGAGGACATTTTCCTTTTTTGTAATAAGGGGAATGGCCTTTTCCTGTATGCTGGCGCAGAAGAGGTACCTTTGAATCAGCAGCGAAAATAGTATGGCCTCGTCTAGCTTCAGTCGCGTGAACGGCGTTTTATGCGGTCGTTCTCCCACGGGATGATGCTCCTCCGTGGGTTGCAGCTCCCCCTCGTTCTCGCCCATCTTGTCCCTACTCACTTGACACTAACTGTTCCAACCTATATGCTGCTCATTCATATGTTGGCAAGAAAAAAAAAAAAGAACGAAGCTAACAATTCACTCCTTTTCTTCTTTTAATGGTGAACAGCTTCTACACCCTGACATTTACGCGTTTGTAAAATTTATAACTTGTAAGTCATAATTTGCGCGCTTTCCCTTTTCTTCCTTGCTTCTAAAATTCGAAGCGGCTAAAAAACTGCCTCCCCGCGTTGGGGTTGGTCGCCTGCAAAATAACAGCGGTATTTATGTTTTTAACAACTTATCAATTATTTATTCTTATTTTTTTTTTAAGTACTTCCTGCGCGTCGCAAAACGAGGGTGAACAACTGCCGGAACCGTTTTGCCAACTCCGGTGGGGGGTGGACAAATATTTAGCTTGAAAAAAAAAAAAAAAAAA